GCTCAGAGCCTGTGTACTTTATTCGGGGTTGAGCACTATATAAATGTCATTTATTATTATTATTATTATTAGAAAAATTTACGGCAGCAGGGGCAGATGTAGGCCAAACATTGTTTACAGAATTTGAACAGACAGGTGAATGGGAAAAAACCAGCACTATAGGTTGCATAAGATATCTGAGCGGATCTTTTCCGGTTCTACTTGGTCACAACTGGATGCCAAAAATCCAGCACAAGAGTTCAGTCCAAAAGAAATTAATCAGACGTGCCACTAGTTTCTCCCACAGGATTTCCTCAACGGCAAGCCTGGCTATAATTAAAAAAGAAATAAAAATATCCCTGACCTAAAGTCCTAAAGCTGCAATTACGATTTGTGTCACGACCCGGTGGAATCAGGTGCTCGTCAACCTTTTGGCATGTGGAGTTATTGATATAATTTGAAAGCGGATTCATTTGCTTCTTTTCCATGAAGTAAACATCAATCTAACTTAAATAGAACTCGAAGGAGGGGGGGTCGCCTGGTTTCAGAAGTAAAATTAGCGAGAAAAAGGCTGCCGAAGTTTGGTGACTTCTGTAGTCAACGATTTTCCATAAAATTCACAGATAAAAGTGTTTTTGAATGGACATAAAAGGCGTTGACCCCCCAAAAAACAAAAATTCGAAAGAAATTTCCAAACTGGCCGAAAAATGCCGATTTCTTGGATTTCATTAAATTGACAAGCACCTGATTTCAGCACGATGCCTCACATATTTTACTTTCGCTTCAAAAAAGCGCCAAAGTGCACAGGAAGTGTTGAACGAATGGGTGACCATTGTGATCTTCTTCTTCTCCTCTGTTCTGAAAGACAGTCAATCTGGTGGTGCACACAAAATGTGCATTTCTCTTTAATTTAGATCCTCAAAGCTGCCTATACACTTTTGTCTTCAGTGGTGTAGCACCATTGCGAATAAGAAAGAGGCGAGAAGGTGAACAACGTTGACAGAAAAAAAATTCCTCACTACTCAGTTTCTTTCTTTTTCCTATCGCAACCTCAGTGTTTTCTTGTCGTATCTCCATTTTTTTTAACAGTGAAAATGTGACTTCTTCTTCAGCTCACTCTTTGTCATGAACTGTTTTCATTGTAAATAAAAATGAAGATATCACTAGAAAGCACAGAGGTTGCGCTAGGTAGAAGTGACTCTGCGTCCCCTCAGTTTTAAACACACATCTAAGAATGTGTGTGTGAGTGTGTTATGCAAAAAATTAGAAGGTCTAGAAAAAGCCCTTTCGTGGTTGTACACTCCAGAATTTCAAAGGTGTGGATCAGTGCGCACGGCTAGTGAACGGAAACCTCACTGGTTTACAATGGTGTCTTAGAAAATGGATGTTCCCAACATTAGATCTAAACGAAACTAATGAAAAACTGAAGATTAAACTACAGTGACGTCAGGCTCCTCAATAAAACTGTGCACTCTTTAAATGATTCTGAACCACCATTAATTTTGTCCAATTCGAAAGTTAAATGGTTCGGAAGTTTTAGACGGCCAAAGTGACGAACTTTCATAAATATAATATGTAGAGATGAATATCACGACAAACAGAAAAAAAATCCCCAACGACTCACCACTCGGCAAAGATATTGGAGTAGGCCAGAGTGCTGTCCGACACCGGGGACAGGAAGTACATGGGTACGCCCGCCAGGCCACACTGCTCCAAGTGTCCCGACAGGCACTCAAAGAGGTCAAAGGTCACCCCGCTGGCGTAGCATGGCACCAGCACGTTGCCTCCGTTCTTTACAGTCACAGCTGGGACAGTGGAAGAGAGTAAAAAGTACAAGTTGAAATAAATGCCAACACTCTTTGTGACTTGACGAGGACTTTAATGATCAAGCGCAATGAAGACACACGTCAGACGATGCGTGACTGGGACAGAAACGGAACGGAAATAAAGCGGATGAATATGAATGACAAAAAAGGGAAAGAATAATAATGGCCACAAAGAACAGATACGAACGATGGCACATACATGTAGTCTTGTCGCTACTGAATGATATTCCTCTAAAGTTGACAGTTCACTTTGTCTAAATATCTGTGGGAACATAAGTATAGTTTGAAAAAGAGAAGCATATATTTGGAAGCAAAAATGCCATTAACCCTATCCGTACGTCATGTTTTACTATCGTATCCATACGACGTGGGGAACTCTGCGCCATCACTTTCCAAAGAGGAAAGTTACTTGTTTATCCAATCCATATGCTTTGTACAGCAGTCTGTCAAAATTATTTTTTGAGAAATACTGAAAGTTTCAAAGAGATCTTTGTACTAGAAGTACTAGAAGTATTCTAAAATGTGAAGAATACAACCACAGGGGTACAAAACGACCCCAGGGTGTACGGATAGGGTTAAGTAAAGTTTGAATACAGAGAAGCATATCAATACAAAAGTAGCCATTTAGTGAAGGGAAAAAAGCAAAGTTGTTTTAGTAAGGTTTTACGGCGCTCGCAAAGTTGCATAAGGTCAAATGAGCGCCAAGGAGAGGATGTCAATAGAGAAATCCAAACGAGGAATCAGGCTTACTCTGCTTACCTCTCTATCCTCAACAGCACAAAGTCTGCTTCCACTATCAAGTCACCCCAGAAATAGCAGTTCACAAGAGAGTGACAAATATACAAAAGAAGTAAAGGAAATGTTTGCATCTTCCACACTGGACTTCCAAGATTTTTCGCCTTTGTCTGAGAAGGCTAGGTGTAGATCTTTCATACCAGAAGATAAGGGGTGTGGCTGAAAGACAGCAGTAAAAAAGAGCTAAGGAGAAGCAGCGGAACAGCTGCAGAAAGAGTCAGGAACCCAGAGGAGGGGGCATAGGAGGTGAGGGAGAGGGGGCAGAAAGTGGAGATGAAAGCAGACGACAGAATATTGCTAGAGAGCTGGAAAGGAGGTGAAAGGAGACAATTCTAGAGAATAATTTTTTTTCCGTCGCTACCCAGATTCGAACCCGGGACTTTTGAAAGAGAGGCGAACACCTTAACCTTTAGGCCATGAGACCCCGTGCCCGTGGTGTAGCGATTAGGATCTTCATTGTGGCATGCAGGAGATACGAGTCCTGAGAGGGGAGAATATTTATTGAGCATCCCTGTCTTTCTAGCTGGGACGTTGTAAAACTCTCAGCCCCAGTTGGCCCAGACAGGTAGTGTCGAAACCTTACTCCTAAGTAATCTAAACTGTGTTGATAAGGGCATAAAAACACCAACATTAAAGAAACAAAAAAATATTCAACTACTGGCTTTTTTTAGAAAAGTACCAAAGATCCTATACAGTAGTTATATATTACGAATAAAACCGCAAAAGAACAAACTACTACTAACCCCACGGG